AATTATGCCCATTTTTAAAGGTTTCTTTCCCCCCAGGTTTTTAAGCAAAGGTTGGGTGGCCATCTGCCAGGGATTCTTTAGCTGTGATTCCCACACCAAAGGGGGTTGGACTAGATGACCATTGGGGGTCCCTTCTGACTCAACGGTTCTGAGATTCTATGGTATTCAGAAGCAGTGCTGCCTCTGGCCGTGGAGGCAAACAATGTTATAACAGTGGCTACCAATGTTATAACAGAGATTTCACTGGCTCTGGCATTCTTGCCTGAGCCTACGAGGCTTGTCTGCTACAAGAACTTTTTGGCCCAGGCCAAAATAAAACACCTTTTCTTGCTAGGAAGGTTCCCCAAGCTCACCATATTCAATTAAAGGAATGATTCATAAGAAAATGAGATTTCGAGTGGCATGTTGAATTAAATTTTTAATTGCCGCAGATATATGGGATAGTGCGTTTTTTTAGTCCTCCCTGCAAGGTTAAATCAGAATTGGCACCGCTGAATTTCGCAGCAATTTGTTCCTTCAAATTTACCCCCAGAAGGACAAAAAAACAAAAAAAGAAAGCCACCTCCATTTACGTCACACAGCTAATCTCGTATTGAACCCAGGGGATAGTCAGACCTGCTAATTACCTTCCACGGTTCCGGGAAAACACAGAGGCTATACAGAGGTTTGGTCTCCGTGATTAATTTCCTCTCACAATTTCACCACCTATTGTTGCTGCAGGAGGGATGAGAGACGGTAATGAGACACTTTGCTCCTTCCTCAATTGATTTTGGAACGGGCAGGGGCTCGCCACCATCCCTCCCTCCCTCTCTCTCATCCGCTCACCGAGGGAAGATGCTGCGCCCGTCCTCTTAAGGCCTTGACCAAGTTCTCAAGCAGAGGTGAGCAGCGCCTGAACCCGCTTCCCCCGGAGATGGAAGCCGGAGTTAGTGCACCGAGATCTGACAGCGATGCTTTTGTTGTGACGCCTCCATGGCACAGGGTTGGCATAGATTACCCTGGGTCCTGTATACCTGAAGGAGCGTCTCCACCCCCATCATCCAGCCCGGGCACTGAAGCCCAGCTCCGAGGGCCTTCTGGCGGTTCCCTCCCTGCGAGAAGTGAGGTTACAGGGAACCAGGCAGAGGGCCTTCTTGGTAGTGGCGCCTGTCCTGTGGACAACTGTTTAGGGAAGTTTTTAATGTCTGATGCTGTATTGTTTTTAATATTCGGTGGAAGCCGCCCAGAGTGGCTGGGGAAACCCAGCCAGATGGGTGGGGTATAAATAATAAATTATTATTATAAATTTTTATTCCAACTCTGCCATTGTATGATTCTACATGCCCCTTCCTAGCTAGGTCCTGTCCAGTATGGACACTCTTCCTGTCTGCCCCCGTCCTCCTTGCAGTAGATCCACCATGACCACACTCTCCACCCATAGTCAGAAGCAGCGACGCTTCTGAATCCCCATTGCTAGAAAACCAACGGGAGCGGAGAGTCCCTGTCGCACTCGGGTCCTGCTTGCAGGTTTCCCAAAAGAGGCATCTGCTTGCCCACTGCGAGAAGAAGATGCTGGAATGGATGGACCACCGGCCTGATTTGGCAGGGCTCTGTTTGGATAGCCAGCTTGGGGCTTTCTGAGCGGATATCTCCTGCAGACTGGCTCCCTTCACCCTCAGCTGGCAGCTGCCCATAAGAGGAGGCCGAGGGAGCGAGGAGAGAGGACTAGGGATGGTGCAGAGCCAGACAGCGAAAGAGAGCAAAATTCATCCTGTTGCAGGAACTCCCCCTCTCCAATCATTCAGTTTGTACAAACACGACACACACATGACATACACAACGTTTCTGTTATAAATTCATAGTAAATCAACCATACATCAGATTTACACCGGTCCACTTTTATTTTACTCCATGAAGGAAGGACTATCAGAGGGGGGTGGTTTGATACAGGATGGCCATAATCTCTTAACCGTACCAGCACATACACATGAGCCCTACCCAGTTGGCATGACAACCTTGATGGTCCCAGACAGAAGACCATCCAGGTCACAAAGGACTTGCATATGGGAGTGGATTCAACATGGACTGGAACAAAGGACAATGATCAGCTCTTCCCTCTGGGGGCAGGAAACTGCCAGCTCCCCTTTGTCCTCTGGAAATGACTCATGGGGAGGGGGAAAGGAGGAACCAGCCAGGTGACAAGATACTCAGGTTACCTCCACTACTCCTCCCTCAACCCCTCCTTTTTGTGATGTGTCAGCGATGTAGTCATGATGTAGTTGTGATGTAGTTCTAGGGGTGTAGTTTGGGAGATTAGTAACTAATAAAAGTTGGGGTCTTCTTTTGTTCTGGGCTTCCATTTTGTTTCACCTGGTGGCAGGTGGGAGTCCTGTCGCAACAGTCTTCAATCAAGACCAAGCCTACTGGCTGCTGTTTTGCTCTGGTATTCCTGGCTGGTGTCCTTGTTTTTTATCCAAGGGAGCCCTCGGATTTCTCCGTTCACAATCCTTTCCAAAAAAGCCTACCTGCCTACGGTGCGCCAAGAAGCCCCTGGGCATTTGGGGACAATATGGCCTTCAAATATGCAGGAGACTGTTGTTGTTTTTTAAGCACACACATGCTCAGGAGTTAAGTGTTCCCTGGAGGTGACACTCAGAACATTGGATTCTCTCTGTCTGCGACGCCCTGCTCATGTTCTGAATTAATGGGGAAGCAGAGGGGGAAGTGCAGCCAGGAAGAATTTAATGTATGTCTGGTATTCAGCACTGCACTCTCGTTCCCAGCGCCTCGCTCCTCCGGGCCGTATATGGAGCCGAGCGTGGCGAGGCCTCGGGTCACGGAGCAGCCACATGCGGCAACAAGGAGCGCTCAGATTTCCACCTCTGCTTGTCTTTGCTGGAAAGCCAGCGTCTCCCTCTAGGAATAGGAGGCACGTGAGCAAAGGGAGCCAGCTTCCCCAACCTGGTGCCCTACAGACATCAGTTTGCTTCGTAGAAGGTTAATACGCCCCTTGAGTGCAAAGTGGGGAGCCAAAGCGGTTCACCAAACAGAGGAAACGATAAAACTACAATCGAGGAAGAATTGATGGCAATGATTCCAAACATCTGAAAGGTTAAAATGACTAGTAAAGGTAAAGGTAAAGGGACCCCTGACCATTAGGTCCAGTCGTGACCTACTCTGGGGTTGCGGCGCTCATCTCGCTTTACTGGCCAAAGGAGCCGGCGTACAGCTTCCGGGTCATGTGGCCAGCATGACTAAGCTGCTTCTGGCGAACCAGAGCAGTGCACGGAAACACCATTTACCTTCCCGCCGGAGCGGTACCTATTTATCTACTTGCACTTTGATGTGCTTTTGAACTGCTAGGTTGGCAGGAGCAGGGACCGAGCAACGGGAGCTCACCCTGTCGCGGGGATTCGAACTGCTAACCTTCTGATCGGCAAGTCCTGGGCTCTGTGGTTTAACCCACAGCGCCACCCGCGTCCCTCTAAAATGACTAAAAGCAGGTTAAAAAGGGCATCAGCTTTCCAAACACCTGGTAGGCTTGCCTACAGAAAAATGCTTTAGCAGGCGCCGAAAAGAATACAGGGAAAGGGCCTCCCTGATATCAATAGGCAGGGAGTTCCAAAGTTAAGGTGCTGCAAGACTGAGTTCTTACAAAAGCGGAGCAAGGATTATCCAGCCAGTTGTTCCAACTGAAGTTATCGAGTGGGGAAAATATGGGGAAAGGAGATCTTGCAGGTTAACTGGCCCCAAGTTGTTAGGGGCTTAATAGACTAAGAATAAGCGCTTGAACTTGGCCCAGTCACAAATCTGAGCCCAAGGGAAGCCACGCATAGGGCACATTGCAGTGATCCAGTTGTGGGCTACAACAACCATTAGCCCCAGCCAGGAAAGCAGGGAAGTGGTGGACTCTCCTCCACTGAAGGTTTTTAAGCAGAGATCCGCTGGCCGTCTGTCAGGGATGCTTTAGCTGAAATTATTGCATTGCAGGGGGTTGGACTGGATGACCTTGGGGTTCCCTTCCAACTCTACAGTTCTACGATTCAGTGGTCTCTGGGTTGGGCTGGGAAGGATTCCCTGTCAGAAAACCTGGCCAGTCACTGTCAGTCAGGCTAGATACTGTCCAGGTTTGTAAAGACTGCGGAGAGAATAATTGGGTGCACTCTTCCCACCTTGGATCAAATTTATGCTTCCAGGTGCCATAAGAAAGCTGCAGAGATAGCGCAGGATAGTGTGCACCCCGGAAATGATCTCTTTCAGCTTCTGCCTTCTGGAAGAAGGTACAGGGTTATAAAGACTAGGACTAGCCGCCTGAGAAACAGTTTCCAATCAAATGCGATTTTGGTTTTAAGGAGTCTCTATGGGAGTATATTGTATTTGAAAATGGGGTATCAGAGTTTTTAGGGGTTTTGGAATGTCTTACGTAGATTTTTCAATTTCATTGTTCTGTATGGGACAATGACAATATATTGTATTGTATCGTATCATATCATAATATTGAGCTAGATCAGGCAACCCCGAACTCGGCCCTCCAAATGATTTGGGACTACAATTCCCATCATCCCTGACCACTGGTCCTGTTAGCTAGGGATGATGGGAGTTGTAGTCCCAAAACATCTGGAGGGCCAAGTTTGGGGATGCCGGAGCTAGATGGAGCAATGGTCATACGCACTATAAGGCACCTTCCTAGTTTCCCAAAGACAGTTTAAGTAAGAATAGAGAAAATGCCTGCAGGAAATTTTCCTGCATCTCCTCATGTTTGTCCCTGACGTTTGGTAACTTAAGCTCAACTGCCTCTGGCTATGGAGTTTCTATCAAACCTCTGTGAAGTTGCCTAATCCTTTCTTCATTCTGATATTTTCTTCTCTCCCCCAAAGCGCTTTTGCCGGCAGCTACCATAACAAGCCTGCGGCAATCCGTTCCTCGGGTTTATGTCTTGAGTGTGGACCTGCTCACCCGAGACTTGCCGCCAGTCAGCGGGTGATCGGTGCAAAGGGGTGTTGTGCGAGTCAGCAGAATTGGCCCCAGATTTCATCCTTTCCACATCCTTCTCGATTTTATAAATAACCATCATCTCCCCTCCGTTTCTAAAGCCCCTTTCTCTAAGCTTGAGACTCTCTGCTCTTAAACCTCCCTTTATAGAACAGGCAACAGATTGCTTTTGTCTGACCGGGGAGCAGCTCAAACAGCTGAAAACATTCAGACTGCTGCAGGCAGACTCTTCAAGGACTTGTTTTTGAGGCTAAGTGGACTTAGATAACAGCTGCGTCTGCCTCCGACAAACAATTCTCCCCATCATCTTAGCTTCCCGAGTCTGGGGAGCTATAGACGGAACAGGAAGAGCTCAGATCAGCACAGAACGGCATTCAGACCACCGGCCCTTTTATAAAAGTAAGGTTTCTGGTCCTCATGATCTTGGAGAGAAGGCTGATAGGCAGGCCAGTTGCTGCTGGCGGAACTGTGGGTCCAGTAATGATGGCTAAGAGATTGAAACTGGTGAACTAGAAGACTAGAGAACCAGGCAGAGGGCCTTCTCGGTGGTGGCCCCCACCCTGTGGATTACCCTCCCATCAGATGTCAAGGAAATAAACAACTATCTGACTTTTAGAAGACATCTGAAGGCAGCCCTGTTTAGGGAAGTTTTTAATGTTTGATGTTTTATCGTGTTTTTAATATTCTGTTGGGAGCCGCCCAGAGTGGCTGGGGAAACCCAGCCAGATGGGCAGGGTATAAATAAATAAATTATTATTATTATTATTATTCCCCTTCATCAATGGCCTGACAATATGACAATATTAGCAACGTATGAATGAACCGCATACAGAAGCAACCTTTCTTTGGATAAATATAACAATATTTGGAATGACTTTACAAAGAATATATTAGGTTATTGATAAATATATTTCTACCAGGGTAATAGGACTAAGCACATATGTATTGAGCATTTTCCCTTCATTTCTATTTTTATCTGCGTTTTTCTTCCTTCCTTTTCCTTTTAATCACTCTTTCTTTTTATACAGGAAATTCTTCCAATAAAATATTAATATCAGAAAAAGAGAGCAGCGGGTTTAAATGACAATACAGGAGAATTTCGAAGATAAAGAAAAGAGAGTGAGGCAACGCATTCCCCTCCCCCAATACGCAGACACCTTCAGAACTCAAGTCTTTCAGTGTGGCAGCACCTTTGGAACTCCCTGCCAATTGACACCAGGAAGGTCCCTTCGCTGCATTCTTTTCGGCACTTGCTAAAATCATTATTGTTTAAACAATAATGCCCAAATGCTTAGGAAGCTGCTGAGAGTTTTAACCTGCTTTGAGTATTTTAACTTCTTATATATTTTAAACCATTGTTGCCATTTTTCTTTTATTTTCTTGTTTCATCTTTTTGTGACCCATTTGGAGATTGTTTCGGATTATTTTTTCAAATTTTTTTTACAATTGAGTATAAATTTTATGGGGACGCGGGTGGCGCTGTGGGTTAAACCACAGAGCCTAGGACTTGCCGATCAGAAGGTCGGTGGTTCGAATCCCCGCGACGGGGTGAGCTCCCATTGCTCGGTCCCTGCTCCTGCCAACCTAGCAGTTCGAAAGCATGTCAAAGTGCAAGTAGATCAATAGGTACCGCTCCAGCGGGAAGGCAAACGGCGTTTCCGTGCGCTGCTCTGGTTCGCCAGAAGCAGCTTAGTCCTGCTGGCCACATGACCCGGAAGCTGTACGCCGGCTCCCTTGGCCAATAAAGCGAGATGAGTGCCGCAACCCCAGAGTCGGTCATGACTGGTCCTAATGGTCAGGGGTCCCTTTACCTTTACCTTTTATATAAATTTTATGAAAGGGGGGGGGACTGGGGTGCTGATATTTTGCCAGCCCAGGCAGGCAGCCTTCCACAATGCGCCATCCCTGCTGCAAACCAAATTTGGTACAGCGATAGTGAGGTTCGGGACATATTAGACAGGCAAACTCAGGAGGCTTCTGGAAACGCACCCAGGGAAGGAAAGTCTCATCCTGAAAGGTGCTGCAAAGATGCTGGCATGCTCAGTGATGTAAGGAACCAAAGTTTGCAATGAAGTACATGAAGTGGCATGCACAATTCCGGGACCCGGCTGCAGATTATTCCCTGCCTTCTTTGCATTCTCACCAGGAGCAAAAAGGTTGGGGGCGCCCCTGGCTTTGCACCCTAACGGTTCCAAGGTATGAATTTGGGCAGCGCGAGGGAATGGGGCCAGTGGCACAAGCGGCGCTTGTTGTTTGTTGACGAGGAATCTTCGCCACTTTGCCCCAGATGGAGGGAGAAGCAGCTAAACCAAATCCCAAAATAAACCCCAGCGCTTTTCTCGAAACCAGAGTTCCTTTCCTCCTCTAAAGAAGTGCTTCGCGTAACTGAAGGGATTGATCTGCAGTAATGTGTTGGGTCAGCCCTTCTAAAATTTCAGCCCTCGTTTGCATCCTGCATGCATTATTTACTTTACTAAAGAGCGAAAGGAGAGAGAGAGACGGGCAGCAAAGGAAGGGCAACAAGAGCCGTGGAAAAAGGCAAGCCTTTGAACAAATCAATGCTCCATCACTTCGGAGAGCGTTTTTGTGTACACACACATTGCAAAGCCCCTCTGCTGACCCCGAACCACCTTTGCCAGGGCCACAAAGCTACCAGAACAGCAGAAACGAAAACATTCAACCTTGGACCGAAAAGCAAACGAGAGAGTAGCGTGTGATGCAAGGACACGGAAAAGTCAGGTGTCAGGGAAATGCGTTCTCTTGCTCTCAGCCTTCTCCCTGATGTGCCGTTTTTTTAAAGGAAGGAATTTTGTTTGGCATGGAGGTCCACACTCAATAATGCCATGCAACCGTCTTTGACAGTTCTATCCTGCCTTTCCTCCAGGAATCTGAGGGATCGCCTGTTTTAGCCTCACAACAGCCCTTCGAGGTAGGAGAGGCTGCAAGATCAAAATCAGGACTGGCTTAAGATCAGGCGGTGATTTTTGAGGGTGCGTGAGGATTTGAACCCAGTATATCATGCCTTTGAACCAATACATCGTATTAGCTGTTCCTTGTGCAGATCAGAAGATGCAATAGTTTATCAGCACTGCAGATTTCAGTTCTGGCAAGGATTTACCTGGAGTCTGCTGCTCAGTTCTGGATCCCACAGTCGAAAAAGGAATGTTGTCTGTTGGGAAGCGATTTCAGGAGGAGAGCTCTGGAGACTGGGCCTAGCAAGCAAACAGAAGCAAGAGGTTTAGTCTCAAAACAGTCCTGTGTTCGAACACTGACGGGCTGTTTGGCCTACCTTGCAGGGACAGGGTGTTGCGGAAATGAAACAAAGACATTATTGTTAACCCAGTTAAGCACTTGGCAATGTTAAGGTGGGATGTGGGTGGCGCTGTGGGTTAAACCACAGAGCCTAGGACTTGCCGATCAGAAGGTCGGAGGTTTGAATCCTCTTGACGGGGTGAGCTCCCGTTGCTCGGTCCCTGCTCCTGCCAACCTAGCAGTTCGAAAGCACGTCAAAGTGCAAATAGATAAATAGGTACCACTCTGGCGGGAAGGTAAACGGCGTTTCCGTGTGCTGCTCTGGTTCGCCAGAAGCGGCTTAGTCATGCTGGCCACATGACCCGGAAGCTGTACGCCGGCTCCCTCGGCCAGTAAAGCGAGATGAGCGCCGCAACCCCAGAGTCGGTCACAACTGGACCTAATCGTCAGGGGTCCCTTTACCTTTACTAATGTTAAGGTATCAACACACCCTCAAAACTCATCCCCAGTGCTGCTAATATATGGGCTGTCATGTCACCTTCAGATAACTGAAGCGCTGTCACATGCAAGATGGAGCAAGCTAGTCTTCTGCTGCTCCAGAGAACCTGAACCAATGGACTCTAAACACTAGGAAGAACTTTCTGACACTAAAAACTGTACAACAGTGGAACGGACTCCCTCAGGAGGTAGATGGTGGACTCTCCATCCTTGGAGGTTTATAAGCAGAGGTTAGGTAGCCATCTGCCAGAGATGCTTTAGTTGAGATTCTTGCATCGCAGGGGGTTGGACTAGATGACCCTCACAGGTCTCTTCCAACTCCACAATTCTATGATTCTCACACTTGTCCAATACATTGTCAAGCTCAAGCAACCTTCTTATGCATAATTTGAATGCCTAATGAAGTTCACCTGAGCAACTTTCCCTTTGTGAGATAATAAAGACATTATCCTCTTGTTGTTTTGTGGGAATATCTGTTTGCTTTCCTAATAGACCAACACAGTTACCTGCAACTTTTGTTAAGTGGTAGACATCAATATAAGGGGCTAGGCATTTCTCAAACAAAAGCTGAGTGGTTTCCCCACCCCACCCCAGAATACAGTATCTGAAGCATGTGTTGGGAGAACAGATGCAAGGAATTTAAAAAGCTCTGACTACAGCAGACCTCAGCAATAAGATATTAAGCCTGAAAGGATAGTGATTCCTAAGGAAAACGCAATAGACAACCACCAAATCCAGCTCCAAATTCCTCGGTCAAAAGGTGCCGTGCAAATTATTAAACCACTGTTTGCAAAGCAATCGCCAAAGTTATGGGATTCATTTTGAACTCTGATATTTTAAAGGGTCTGTAACCATTTGGCAACACTGCCTGAACCTTTCACGGGCACCACCTCCTGGTTTCAAACTCTTAACAAATGAGGACCAGGAACCTGCATTGTTAGAGTCGATTCTCGGGGGTCCAAATCCCAGAAGTCCTGAATCAACCCTTTCCAGAAACTGGTTAAGAGCATAAGGCCTGGAGGAAACTTTACCAGGTAAATACATCACGACCATCATTTGCATGAGGCCCCCCTGAAATGAATGGCAGCTGCACACACAGAGATGTGCATAAAAGCTGCCCTGTTCAGGTGACCTTTTCACATAACCAAAGTGGGACTGCAAGGCTGAAGTGCTACAGCAGGGGTAGGCAACCTAAGGCCCATGGGCCACAAACGGCCCATGGGGGTCGTTTAACTGGCCCACAAGCCACCCCCGGATCAAGCCACCCGCTCGGCGGGTCCCCATGTGCTGTGCTAAACTGGTGCACTTGCTTCCGCAGTGCTGGAAATCGTGTCTGCGCATGTTCAGACGCCAGAAATTGTGTCTGCACAGACGCCAGAAATCGCGGGCGCATGCACGATACGGCCCATGAAGGGATCTCGGCTGGAGTAAACTGATCCAAGCGAGGTAAACCTTGCCAACCCCTGGGCTAAAGCTTGAACCAGGGCTCCGTTCCACATTCTCTTTTCCATGCCAGCACTCAAACCTGCTGCCCTGAACCCATAAGTAACAGCAGCTGAAAAACCTCAGGTCAGCATGCCTAACTTCCAGAGGATCAGGGCATTAGTCCTAGGATGCCTCATTTTAGAAATGATGTCTTCCTGCCTGTGGAATGCTTCGCCAGAGTGGTGCATGCTCTGGTTATCTCCCGTTTGGACTACTGCAATGCGCTCTATGTGGGGCTACCTTTGAAGGTGACCCGGAAACAACAACTAATCCAGAACGCGGCAGCCAGACTGGTGACTGGGAGCGGCCGCCGAGACCATATAACACCGGTCTTGAAAGACCTACATTGGCTCCCAGTACGTTTCCGAGCACAATTCAAAGTGTTGGTGCTGACCTTTAAAGCCCTAAACGGCCTCGGTCCAGTAGAAAAAGAAGAAGAAGAGTTTGGATTTGACATCCCGCCTTTCACTCCCTTTTTAACGAGTCTCAAAGCGGCTAACATTCTCCTTTCCCTTCCTCCCCCACAACAAACACTCTGTGAGGTGAGTGGGGCTGAGAGACGTCAAAGAAGTGTGACTGGCCCAAGGTCACCCAGCAGCTGCATGTGGAGGAGCGGAGACACGAACCCGGTTCCCCAGATTACGAGACTACCGCTCTTAACCACTACACCACACTGAAGGAGCGTCTCCACCCCCACCGTTCTACCCAGACACTGAGGTCCAGCACCGAGGGCCTTCTGGCAGTTCCTTCACTGCGAGAAGCCAAGTTACAGGGAACCAGGCAGAGGTCCTTCTCGGTGGTGGCACCCGCCCTGTGGAACACCCTCCCACCAGATGTCAAAGAGAAAAACAACTACCAGACTTTTAGAAGACATCTGAAGGCAGCCCTG